TAGTCTTTGCAACTTCAGGGATCTTATCTATGCACAATCAGCTTGTAACACTCCAAAGAGAAAGGAAAACTTGAAATCGCATCATATCACCCCTTTAAGCCACAAGACTTAATTCCAAACATGAAGCAGCTATTCAAGTCAGCAAGGAAACAAAACAGCTGCCAACAGATTCAAGTGGGATGGGGATTTCAGAGGAGGCTGTCAGAGAATGCCAGCGTGAGAGGGTGAACAGCCAAACGAAGACTATTCTCAGAGAGAAACTTCAATTGTACGCTCTGCAAAGATGAAAGAAAGAATTGAAAATTGAGCTATACAACAGAGAGAGACATAAAGAGATATGCCCTACTGGTTATTAGACAGGTACAACAAAGACAACCACTTAGAGACAGTCTGAATCCAGACACTAATTTAGACACATTTATAACACATTACAGTCCATAAAGAATACAGCGTCCCCTCAGCAAATGGTCCAGGGCCTTTCTTCTATCCATCTACTTAAAGGGCCGCCTGGAACATGAAATGTGAATTTAGTAGCCATGTATATATGACAACAATACCTTTTATGGATTATGCACAGTCAGACATGCTCATATCATCCACCTACATGAACAGGAGATACTATATATAATAGGCGGAGTAGTTCAGCGCTGAAATTGTTTTAGTGCTGTTGGAATATATAAATAAAAGGAAACAAATGATTTTGTCACAACAATCACAACAATATATAATTTATTTTGATTGTGAACACTGTGAGTACAGTGAGTACAAAAGTAATTTATTCCTGTGATTGCAAAGCTGAATTTTCTGCATCGTTACTCCAGTCTTCAGTGTCACATGATCCTTCAGAAATCATTCTAATATGCTTATTTTGATGCTCAAGAAAGATTTCTCTTGAGTATCAATGATGAAAACACTATAAACACTTCTGTGGAATACATTTCTTTTCAGGATTCTTTGATGATTAGAATTTTTAAAAGAACTACATTTATTTAAAATAAATTATAAAGGTCTTTATTGTCACCATTGTTCAATCTAATGAATCCTTGCTAGAAAAAAAAAATCCCCTACTGTCACAAAACTTTTAAAAAGTGATGTATATGTGAATTGACACCTTTTTTTAAATTCACATGAATTTATAAAATTATGGCTAAATACTAATTAAATAAATAATAAATAAAACGTAAAAATGCAGATCTGGGTGAACAAGCACTAATGACTGCACGAGAAAAGCATGTTGCAGTTACTCCAATACATGCAGCACAACCTAACTCGTCGGTGGATGTTTCTCTCAATACAAAGCAACACGTCATTAAAACTGAGGCTGAATTTTCTAAGACTTACTGTACAAGACACGATATGTGAAGTTCACAGTATCACACATCCAGCTAACAGCTTTAATGTCTGAAGCCCCGGGCATGTGCACTGACCTACAGACAGCACTACTGCTTATGGCCAGACCTAACAGCTTTAACTAGCATTGATGTGTGTGTCTGTGCATGCTGAAATCTACCAATGTATAGCATTCACAGCCTACTGGTAAACCCAAGCTGCAAGCATAAATTTTACTGTAACATGTATGAAGAAGTTACTTTAATAAGAAAGTACCATGATTTTAATGGGAATGCACCATGTTAATCATCGAGTATGAAAATGAAAATGTTTAATTGTATGTAACATTGTAATCTGGTTAATCTAGTATAATGGTAGACTCATGATCTACATATCGAGCAAGTACAGTGACTGAGGGAAAGCTTAATTCATACTGTAATGGACAGCAGAGTCTAATCCTCACTGCTGATGTAGTGTGATCGGAATGATTCAATAATCTCTGGTAATCCCGCACTAAGAATGGACACAATGAGAGGACAGAGATACAGGAAGGAACAGGCTAGAGTGACAACAGGAAGTTGATGACAACAGAGAGAGAAAAAAGCACTGTGACAGTGTGTCAATAAACCTTTTAATCTATTTATCTGCTGCACTGTAAACCCTAATAAGGTAGCAGAACTTTACATTTTAATTTTGCACTACACAAGCATGTTAATTGCAATCAAATTGAAATATTGGCTAAACCAACTCATACAATTAGATTGCATAAACATGTTAACTCATATTATATAACTCATATTAACTTTTACAGCCCATCGAAATTGCAACATAACAGAAACTCCTATAAATCCCATCATAACAGAGCATTAAACACTAACTAACACATCTCTCCCTATACACAAAATAACACTTAAATTCAACATTTATTCTCTTTATACAATCTAATGCAAAGCATACTGGGAACTAGAAATCCACTGCAACTCATTCAGTTTAAGTTCAGCTTATATGCTTTTTTCTTTGAAGTACAAGGATCTTTCAGTAATATCTGAGTGAAATGAAGCAATTTCATGTCATTAGAAATTAGACGAAAAGCCCAAATAAATAAAGATAATTTAAAGACAATACTGTAAATCACTGTGGCAGATGAGTAGATATTATAAAATGTGGCTGTCAATATATATTTTTTATTTATATAAAAAGTATTTATATTTTTAAATCAACATATTTTTTATTTTCTTCCATGTTGAGCATAAGCCTAACACCGACCAACAGTCACAGCAATCTTTTTTGCAGTCGATTTGTCTGAGGTTGATTAGTGACTACCTCACTATTTTTGTGTTTTGTTTTGCCTCAACCGCACAGCATTTTTGAAGACGCTGTCAATTTGCTTTTCACTGCCAGAAAAGAAAGCAAATTATATTTTAAGGGTCAATTTTTAAAACCTGACAAGAAAATTAAGAGATATGATGGGAAAATCATACAAAGCGGTCTCAGCATCTACTTTACAATCATCAACAGCTTTATATTGCAGCCATTAAGCCCTTAAGAAGGATCCAACAGAAGTGCACACACACACACACACACCCACACACACATACTTGTGCTAATGTGAGTGCAGATCACATGGAGGCAGGAAGCGGCGGACATTCATTCTCGACCCTGCAGTCATTCTACAAACATTCAACTCTCCTCTTTATCTCTGCATAGCATCTCATCTTGCCTCCTCACAGACTCATTTTAAATGCTTAATTTGGATTCATAATTAAAACCAGACAACCATGAAGGATTCCAAATAGTTTTAAAGACAGTAGACACCATTAGAATCTGCCCAAAGTTTACAAAAGAGTTCACTACGGATATCAAAAACAGAATTTTCTCCATATGCACAGCATAGCTGACAGAGAGCAAAACATCACTTCTCTCTTTCTCAATAGTCACCTCTTTCTTTTCTTTTTCAAAAAGTTATATACATCATCTCCATTAAAGGGGTCGATATGATGCGATTTCAATTTTTCCTTTCTCTTTGGAGTGTTACAAGCTCTTGGTGCATAAAGAAGATCTGTAAAGTTGCAAAGACTAAAGTCTCAAATCCAAAGAGATATTCTTTATAAAAGTTAAGAGTCAGCCACACCTACCTAAAACGGCTCGTTCTAACACGCCCCAACATACCTACGTCGCTCTGTGGGAAGATTTGCATAACGCCGCCCAAATGTTCACGCAAAGAAAGAAGGCGTAACTTTTATTCTCGCTGTAGTATTGTTACCGCAGCCATGAAGACGCTGTGTGCTTCGTTGTGAAAGCGAAACTACTTTGTTTGGTCTTCCAAAAGAGGACGACATCCGCTTCGTCATGCCTAGAGCTGATCCGTGCTGGTCGCTGAGGGAATACAACAGTATGTGAGGGGCGTAACATTTCCGTCTCACGCTTGAGGTATTCGGCCAATCAGAACGCACTGGATAGCTGGCCAATCACAGCACACCTCGCTTTTTCAGACCGATGAGCTTTGCAAAAATCGACGCGTTTCAAAAAGGCGGGGCATAGAGGAGAAACAATAATGTACAGTATGTGGAAAATAATGTGTTTTTTTTTTACTTTAAACCGCATAAACACATTTCATTTCACCAAATACACAAAATAATGTTCTTTTTAGCAGCATCATATGACCCCTTTAAGCACCAAATGCATGTCAATTTTCTGTTTTAGCAGTGAAATTTGCAGTGTCACTAGCACAAAAGCAGCAGTAAATACTTTTACATTGTTAAAAAGATTTCTATGAATTTCTATTGAATTTTCTATTTATCACAAACTGTCTTTAACATTGATTATAAGAAATGTTTCGTCAGTAGTACAAAATCAGCATATTAGAATGATTTCTGAAGGATCATGTGAGACTGAAGACTGGAGTAATGGCTGATGAAATTCAGCTTTGCCATCACAGGAATAAATTACATTTTAAAATATATTAAAATAGTAAACAGTTATTATAAACTGTAATAATATTTCACAATATATTCTTTAAAAAACATTAAAAATATTTCACACTTCTTTCAAAGACTACATTTTTTTTTATCAGTTTTAGCTTTTATTATGTTTTATTTTATGTTTGACAGACATGTGAAAGTACTTTCTTAAACTATACAGTACAATCTCAATATTTCTCAAATGTTGCTTACATGTTCGTTGCAAGGTACATTAGTGTAATTAAAGCTGAAACTAACCGTGATAAATGAAATGAAAGCGTGTCAGTTGAGGTCAGTGTGAAAACTGCATTACACGCTTGGGAATCAAGCTCGAGATCTGGATTCATTTAAAACTAAAAGCCAAATAAGCAGTATGGACACACTAAGACCACATCATTTTGTTCTAGATAACCAATTATTTCATCTAGAAACTAACCAAAGCCCTGTGAGACTTTCACCCAGTTGAATAGGGCGTAGGGTATTTTTAGTTTGTGGTCACACTGTCAAATCTCAAACTATACTTCTAATCCCACAATATCTAAAACACACATGTCCAAAAGAGAGAACGTGTGTTTAGTGTCAGGTATGAGTGTGTCAGTCTCTAATCCGGGTCACTTTAATTGAATAATGCAGATTATCTTGTCTCAGGGACGCTACTGTGGCCACAGCCACAGCCACACACTCTCACATATCACTGTTGTCATCGAAAGCAGACATACAAAACATCCTCATTCTACAGACTGTAAAACAAAAATAGCAGCAGGCACATTCCCTGCCAAATCCTGAGCTAACCTCTACTAACCCCTAGCTAGTGAATTTGGGCTTAGTGGATGGAGAGAGAGGTAGAAATGCCTCATTTTATTTACTCACACGGGCCGAGGGGTCGGGCTGGCGGATGGAGGCATGATCCGGTCCTACGGGGGTGAGGGAGGGGACCCAGATGTAGAGGAACCCATCATTCATGCCATGGGTCATCCAAGATGTTCCCCTCCATGCACTGCATAAGACGTCGCTAAGACCTCCAGCGCGTCCCCATTCACAGGTCACTGCCTGTCCAGAAACAGGGCAAGCAGTGCGGGTGGGGCATAAGGGGAGGAGCTTCTGGTGTTTTCCCATTTCCCATAACCAAATCAAGTTTATGGATCCACAGAACCAGCTGACAGGATGTGCTTGCCAACTACACATGTGAGATTAACCGCGCTGTGGGGGATCGGATCCATCTGGGGCATCCCAACTGAAAAAGCCCTAGAGATATTGAGGATGCATACACAGCACTAAATTTAGCCGATGGTAATCATCATTCATAAATGATGAATGCTGCAAATTCATGCTTGTCCTGAGAGCCTCTGGACCTCACCCAACTCACATGTGTGCCTCTAAAAACAGCCCAGCGAGGAGGAGGAGGACAGTTCTTACATACACACAGCTCTTCCTGCAGCATTAAAAGTCCTTCAAGCTGCTTAATGTAACACCTTTTCATAACTTATGACACACAAGAAATTACCATGTTCTCTGTGGTCTGGCATTTAAAGAAACAATGAAAAAGTTAAATGCAGAAGATGCAACAATAGTGGGGGTCTTCTGCACATTGTCCTTCCTGTTGGTTGGGCTGCCTGGCTGCTGTATCGAATACAAAAATTTTATTGAGGAGATTTACTCTCAGAGGACCACAAAGGATTTAGAGCTCTCAAAGCCTGACAGGGTGGATGAAGACAGACAGACCTGTGTTTGGACAGCTATTACTCAAGAACAGCTGAATCACATTTCCATCATCATGTGGGTGGGTGAGGTTTAGTCATGGCTGGAAGCAGGTTTTGCATATAATGTTTTCAGTAACACTTTATATACAAGGCTAAATTTGCATTTAGTAGTTAAATGCTTAAGATAACAAACTAATCACATTTTTTGCAGCATTTATTAATTGAGGTTAATGTTCATTTTGCTATTGTTCATAATTAATTAATGTACACTACCATTCAAAAATGTTGTTAAGATTTTTATGTTTTTGAAAGATGTTTCTTATGCTGCCAAGGATGCATTTATTTCAAAAATACAGTAAAATAGTAATGATGTGAAATATTATTTCAATTTAAAATAATATATTTTATATTCCGTGTCACATGATCCTTCAGAAATCATTCTAACATGATGATTTGCTGCTCAAGAAACATTTCTTATTAAACATTTAAAAAAATAGTTGTACTGCTTAATATTTTTGTGGAGCATTTTATCCAGAGTCTTTGATAAATAAAAAATATTGATTTTTTATTATTTTTTATTTATATGTTTTTAAATAAATAAAAAACATCTGTCAATTTTGATCAATTTAATCTGTCCTTGCTGAATAAAAGTATTAATTTCTTTCAAAGAAATCTTACTGTCTCCCAACTTTCAAACAGTATCATTCAACCTAATACATAATGTTAATCATTTACAAAACCTGAAATATAAAATATATATTAGTATATGTTTAGTATTAGTATATGAAATGAATATTATGCTGTAAAAGTTTTATTAATTGTTAGTTTAATATAGTGCATTAACTAATAGTAACAATCTTGAGGTGAACTGGGCGTTTGGCTACATAAATGTACACAGGACATTGTCTTCTACATAGAAAATAACTAATACAGATGCAAAAACTAGACTTCATTTAACTGGAGATCTTGTTTGGGAGATCTTGTTTGATTGCAAGAAATTGATGTGCTTCTCTGAGCACATGTTGTGAAATTTGCCTGTGTAATTGTGTCACCCTTCATCTGGGCAAATCCAATTAAGAGCACTGGAGGCTTGAAAAGAGGAGCTGGAAAACATCTCGACATGGACTGACTGCATGTGTGTGAAAGAGAGAGAGTTTACAAGCTCTGTGCACAGAGTAATGGCTTTGACTGTGATAAAAATGTAATTTTCACGGTTTTCTTAGTAGCAAAATCAGGGAGGAGAAGTAAAGGCCCTATCCCACGGGACGCGGCAAGCGATGGAACTGCAGCTTTCCTCTTGTAGTGGAAGGATTTTGTGCAGTTGAGGCGGTGGTCGCGTTGCGGTCTCGGAGCGGACGTTGCCATAGTTACAGTTGTCCACATCACCGTTGTATTGACTAAAAAATGAATAAAACATAA